ATGTTATCTTCACGAACTTGGGACAGACAAAGTGATCTAAAGCACAATACAAAAAATGCAAACTGTGACTGGAATTGTTGATAAATTGAACTACACCAAGATTAAGAATATCTATTCATCAAAAGATGCCAGTAAGAAAGTTAAGAATTCTAGAAATGAATTCTAGAATTCATTTCTAGAATTCTAGTGAAGCCAGAATTCTAAAAAATATTTTCAATATAGATGTCTGACAAAGGACTCATTCTGTATGAAGAATTAATTCCTACAAATAAATAAGAAAAAGGCAGACAACACAATAGAAAAATGGACAAAAGACCTGAGAAATCACTTCACAAAGATACCCAAAATAACAATAAATATATGAAAAGTTGTTCCACTGCCTTAGTCATCAGGGAAATGCAAATTAAAAGCCACATTGAGATCAAATTACTAATAAGCAAAACAAAATCTGAAATTAAGTCAAAGACAAGTAGATGAATTTATGAGGTAACTAGATCACTCATACATTGTGCTGGGAATGTAATTAGAACAAATAGTTTGAGAGATTGACAGTATAAACGAACAGTTTATATCTAGAAAAAAACATGTTGTTTTGGAAACAGAAGCATAATTTGAAGTAAACCATTGGTCAAAGAAGAAATCACGAAGAAATTAGAAAATATTTTGAACTGGAGGTAATGAATATAGAATATATCAAAATTAGGAGGCAACTTGTGTTCAGATGGAAATTTACATATTTAAATGCTTACATTTGAAAAGAATCTGAAATCAGCAACCTGAGTTTACACTTTAAGACACTTGTAAAAGATGAGCAAATTAAACCTCATATAAGTAGACGGTAATAAGAAACATAAGAATAGAAATCAATGAAATTTAAAAAAATAAAATTGAGAAAATTAACAAAGCAAAAAGTTGTACTCTGAAAAGATTAGTAATATTGATAAATCTTAGTGTCATGAAGAAGAAACAGGAGAAAACACAAATTCCTTGAAATAGTAATGAAGAGGAGGTATCACCACATGCCCTTTAGATATAAATAAGGTAATAAAGGCACATAATAACCTGATGTCAATAAATGCAATAACTTAAATGAAATAGACAAATTTGTTAAAAAAATACAATTTAGCAAGTTTTTCCCAAGAAGATATAGAAACTGAATTGTACTATATATCTATTAAAAATTGGGTTAATATTAAAAAATAATCTTTCCACAAAGTCTCCAGACACAGATAGTTTCACTAGTTTCATCAAACATCTAGGAAAGAAATTTTATCTTGCACAAACTATTTTACAAAGTAGAGGAGGAGGAGGCATAAGACCATATGCCTCCTCTACCTTCTACCAAAATCAGATGATAAAATTACAAGAAATGAAAATGATAGAGCAACATCTCTCATGGATATACATAGAATATTTTTAAAAAATCTACTAACAAATTAAATTCAACAGTAATCAAATCCATGATCAAGTGAATATGTGGTTTGATATCTTTTGTCAATATTGAAAAGTTCCTGGCTGGGTGTGGTGGCTCATGTCTGTAATCCCTGCATTTTTGGAGGCTGAGGTGGGTGGATCATGATGTCAGGAGTTCGAGACCAGCCTGACCAACATGGTGAAACCCCCGTCTCTACTAAACATACAAAAATTAGCAGGGTGTGGTGGTGTGGGCCTGTAATCCCCGCTACTCAGAAGGCTGAGGCAGAATTGCTTGAACCTGGGAGGCAGAGGTTGCGGTGAGCCGAGATGATGCCACTGCACTCCAGTTTGGGCAACAGAGTAAGACTCCATCTCAAAGAAGAAAAACAAAAGTCCTCAGAATTTATTCTTTGACTTTGCTTTTGTTTTACATTCACTATCCAGTATCGGAAGGACCTGGGGAGGAGAGCAGCCACCCAGCAAAGCCAACTGAACTTTTAGATTATGGTGTGAGAGAGAAAGAAACTTTCATTGTGGTAAGCCAATGAGAATTGAGGGTTATCACTGCAACTGACATCACTCACTATGATAAATGGCTTTACCATTTTAAACGCACATATTTTATTATTATTATTATAGACAGAGTCTTGCTCTGTTGTCTTGGCTGGAGTGCAATGGCTTGATCTCTGCTCACTGCAGCCTCCACCTCCCAGGTTCAAGCAATTCACCTGCCTCAGCTTCCTGAGTAGCTGGGATTACAAGCATCTGCCACCATGCCCAGCTAATTTTTGTATTTTTAGTAGAGTCAGGGTTTCACCATGTTGTCCAGGTTGGTCTCGAACTTCTGACCTCACATAATCCACCCGCCTTGGCCTCCCAAGGTGGTGGGATTACAGGCATGAGCCACTGCGCCCAGCCACAAATTTTATAGTTAATTTTTCAGTGTTCTATTGTCTGAAAGTGTGAGGCAGACATTTTCCTGTTTACTCTCCTACTGACTTTCCCTTCATGACAATGTCCTAGGATGAGGTAGAGTTTGCTTCCTTGAATGGGTTATATTTTTTATTTTGAACTTATTTTCATGAATATTGTGATTTGCAGGAGCGTTTTGGAATCCCATGTGTGTAAAGTTACTAAATCTTCCTTCAGAGGAATTCTTGAATCCTAAACCATGTAATACACATTTGGACTCCACACCTAAGCCTGATGCACTTTTTGTTTTTTAAATGTGTAATTATCTTTTTTCCCCCATCCGGAGCTTAAGTAGAAAACATGCATCCTTCCACTTCCCTGGCTAATGGTTAGTTTTCAGGTCTTTTTTTTTTTTTTTTTTTTTTTT